GGAAGTCAGGATTTCACCTCAAAACTGCCATATCCCATCTGTTTTACTAGAGAAAGACTATGGCATCACAAAATAGCAACTTTAAATTCTACAAATGAGGCAGTATTCTGAAATTCAACAGGAGCAAAGGGTATTCAAAGCATCAGTCTGCAAGTTCAAAGCTGTGTTACTGACTTGAAAGCTGCCTTTGCATGCTATTTTTGGTCATTGAAAAAATTGCTAAATTTGTTAGTAGAGTTTATACTGTGTGGTAGATTGCTGGAATCTCCTGCTGTTCTGGTGGACACTGTAAGTTGGCATGCACAGCCTTTTGCGAATATTAAGAATCTCTGGTTTTGCAGGAAAAAAAGTAACTAGTAAAAATATATTTAGTATGTAAGTACACATGTAAGCAAGTGTGTTCAGGGACAACTTGATTTTTTTACACTGTTTCTTTGTATTGTTGATTTGAAAATTTGAAAAGAAAAACCTGCAGGCGCTTTTTTTCTCATGTGTTTTGTCAAAGTCTTCTCTAATGGGAATTTACTGTCCTTTTCTTAAACTAAGTGAAAGCAGTGATACACTTCCCACTTAGCTTGCTCTGGGCTTTGGATCAGGACACAGGCTTCACTAATAGGGGACACCCCATTCAACCTTCAGATTTAATGCTTTGGCAGAAGTAGCTGGTGAGAAGCTGTCTGCAGGAAAGAAGTTTTATGAGAATGCTAAAAGGTTGAGTGTGTGCCTCTGTGCTAAAATCAGGCTTATGATATCTATCTCAGAGTGTAACTATAGAGATAGGCTGGAAGATCCTGTTGAAATATTTCAGGCTTTGCAGTATGTCCTTTAGAATAAAATGCTGGATATAAGCACTAAAAGCCAATAGAAAATGTTCAAATTTGAGATTATTGTAAGCTTTGTCTTTGTGGATTTCCCAAAAATCTTCTGCATTGCATCAAAATAAGAAAGAATAAGTGAGAATGGGGCAACAGCATGGAATAAGTAGGATGGAGTGACTAAGGACATGCTCCAAGGGCCTCTTGAGTCGATGATCGTGTTTACAGGAGGATTTGGTTCATATTCTGAATTTTCCGCCCAGAATCTGCACAAAAGACAAAGGGATGATTGTAATACCAACTTGCACAGAAGAGTCTGCTCCGTGTAATCTCATTTTAGCATATATTGAATAACAGGGACTTACACTACTGCTCTATGGCAAGGAGCACATGGCAGGCTCCTGTTCACAGCCTGTCCCTGCAACCCATAGGGTCTTTTAGCTTGAATATTTCAAGGAAAGGATGAAGCATGCATGTACACATAGACATATATATAAGCATTTTTACATAAACAGAGAAATTACCTCAGTCTGTATTTTTTTGCCTTCAGTATTTCAGTTTCAGAGCCCTATTTGTTCTATTCATTTCCATTTGCAATGCTTTGGAACCTAATAACAGTCCTGCTGAAGATCAACATCTGATTAGACTAGGACTGTGCAGCACAATACCCAAAGACTGCCTTCAGACCTCTTGAAATTCACTCTGTGGTATTATACTTTTTTAGCAAATATTAGAAAAAAAAGGTACTAATACCTCCACATGCATATAGATAAAGTATATATTTAAGCATACACACATTCACACGCATACACAGAGGAAAAGAGAAATTAAAGAGAGGTCCAATTACCTTTTAAACTACTGCCCCTTTACATCTCTCTAGCACTGTAAAGAGTCCTTAAAAAGGGAAGACACATAATTTACATTCATTTTAAGGCCATCTCAGTACTGATGAGAAGTGTAAAGGAGCCTCAGAGAAACAGAATCAGCCCAGTAGTACCCACTGCCACACTTCCTTTTCATGTTTTACAGATATTTGCACTACAAATGAGATGTCTTAATTACAGGTTGAATTTTAAATAAAACATCACTGCAAATATTAAACTGTAGAAAAGCATTGGGTGGTATATTGGAACAAGACTTAAAGGTAGCTTCTGATGCAGCCAGACTGTGAGTGAGACTCACACCAAGCCACTGCTTCTTCCACAACAGGGCTCAGTGCATTTAGTGCTAAAATAATTCTCTCCAATTATAAAACCAGCAGAACTATTCTAACATTTTGTCCACTGGTCAGAAGAAGCACAGGCACTGGCAGAGAAGCAAAGGCAGCTGAAGGAGCAACTTTTACCTATGTTCACTGCCTAACACAGTGAACACTTTTACCTATGTTCACTGCCTAACACTGTGCCTGCACAGCTGTATTTTGGGGATGCCAGTCTCAAGCCTCAATTCAGAGAAGAAAGGAAAAATAATAGGGAAAAAAAAAGATAATGCAAACAGCAATTCCTACCTCATATATATCTGAATTAATAGAAATTATAGCTTTTTATGTAACATACATGCTTATGATTCCTAACAGAAATGTATGGCTACATCTTGTCAGACTAAAAGTTCATCCAGCCAAGTACCTTGTGTCCAGTTGTGAGCTGGCTGCCTATAGAGGAGCATAAAAGCACGGCAAGTGTACAGCAAGGCTTTCTCAAAACACTTCCCTAGACCTAACTTGTGGTTCAAGGACTTTCTGCACCAAAGCTAACAGCTCCTGACTGATTTTCTTTCCATGAAGAGTCATTTTTGAGCATACGTATACTTTTAGAAACATTACCTCCTGCTCAAAGCTTCGTCACATTGTGCGTGAAATGTCTATCTTTGTTTTGAACCTGCTACTTGCTATTTCCACTTCATGTCCCCTATTTCTTGTACTGGGAGGAATGACAGTGGTTCCCTGCTCACCTTGCTCTGCTTCTGAAGATTATCTTGCAATAGATCATGGGAATGTGCTGTACTTAATAGCACACCTGTGACACTGTATATGCTACGGCAGACAGAGTGAGAGAAAGAGTAGTTTTCATGACAATCCTATTCTTAGGGTCCCATAACTTCAATGCTGAAACTTGCTGTCTGTATTCTACAATAAAAAGGATATAATCAAGTTTAAACAGGAGCTTACATCAAGGGGAACTAATAAAAACCAATGCCTTCTCCTAAGTGACTAGTCTTAATCTTTCTGAAGTTAGATTTTTTTCTATATCCAATTGTTTTGATAGAAGGCTATTAATTTTTAGTGTCTCTTGGCAAGTTAGGACTCATGTATTTTTATATGTCTAGCTCATTCTTTTCAATTTTTTTTTATAATTTATAAATGGAGGAATGAGTTACATTTCTTTTTCAGACACAAGCTATACCATATACCATATTGCGTTCTACTTGTCTTGAATAAGAAACAGTTAGTCATTTCCAGTGTCTGTCAACTAGATACAAGTTCAGTAAAATGAGACATTTAAAACTTTAAGGACTGCCATTTACAGGAAGAACTTGCATTTGCTGTGCACTGTTCCCCAGTAACTTGTCATCTGGAATAAATCTGTTTATTAAGGATTTACAGAGCTCTGGAAAATATAGCAAGAAATCTGTGACTGCATTCATACTCTTCGAACTCACAAAACACACTGTGAATTCAGTATAATTTTAACCTGAATTCTTAAGTGTGACGAAGGTATGTGTTGTTCTGTTGTCTTTTTTAATGTCTCGTTCACCTTTTCTCCTCTTATTCTACCCTCTACTCTGTCTCTTGTATCTTGATGGCTCTGATGGTCTTTTATCTCATTCAGTTCACTTGATTGTCCAAAAGCCTCTCACTCTTGCAGAGGATTTTCTTCCTCCATGTGCTTTTGCTCTTGTGGTGTGCTTGCTTTCCCTCTCTCTCATTCTCCACCCGCTTCTCATCTCTCCCACTTAAGCCTCACTTCTTTCAGAAGACAGTGGTGTGGTAAAATATGTGTCTGGAAAGCTGTGCCTTGGGCTAAAATATATCTATCTAATCTCTGAGTGCATTATTTAAAAATATGGGAATGGCATCTCCTGTGGTCATTTGATTCAGAGGCTAAATGGAAACACTACCAGCCCCAATGATGATATTGATTGTCAATTACCTAAACTGCTAATGTGGACATGATACTGGCTTTGCTTAATTTATTTATATATAGACAACGTTGTATATTTTAGAAATATTTTTTTCCTGAATAAAATGTTACAGATTCCTTTTTATTCCCTTTCAGACTATGTAGTCAAAATTGGTACTTGGTCTAGAAATCTCCAGAGACCACATTATACACAAGGAGTTCATATACATCTGTGTATAAACATTTCGGTGAACAGTTTTTTACTTTGGAATTATATGTACTAAGGCATACACATACAACATCTGTGTCTAAACATCCTTGATTTCAACCATTTTCAAAGGATTTGCTTCGTCTGAAAGGTTCTGATTGCAAATTTTATGCAGATACACATAAATACCACTTTGTTTAGTTAAGGGAAATACAGAAAAAGCCTGCAGCCTCAGACCCTATGTGTACCTTGAAATATTCACACATTCTGTAGTCTGCAGCATGGCAAGAACTCATAGACCTAAATCCAGCAGTCTTGATACGTTCATTTCTTCTTCATTATTTGTGCATTAGTATCTACTACCCAAAACTGACATCACTGTATACTGAACAAATACACAGCAAGAAACAAGACCTTCTCCTGGAAAGTTTTAGGTTTGTCCCACTGAATCACCATACCGGCTACTAAGATAAAAAATGAACTCTACCACAGCTGAAACCAGGACGAGGTCTAAGGGTAAGATCTGCAGAATTGCCTAATGGAATAAGAGCCCAAACACTCATTTTCAGCTTGTGATGTTACCTTTGTTGGAGATTTTTAAAGGGCAAAGTAGACCAAAAGAAGCATCAAAAACCAGGGTAAAGATGAGATTAGTACAACAGTTTCACAGGGGAGAAACTGAGGCACAGAGAGATTAAATGATTTGCACAGCGTCACTCCTGGAATATGAGCACTGCCTTCAGTTCTCCTGAGTTCCTCCATCCTGCAAGACGCACACCACAAACTCCAAGCCTTCACACAGCTTGTGCCTTGTTTGAACCACCCTTTAAATAGTCAAGCCCTAGACACCCTACTTACATTTTCACTGTTAATGTCTGCCTCACTGGGGCAGCCAAAGAGTTCCCGTCTCAGCAAATTCCCATCATATTCCAGGAATGTCAGGTAGAGGTTGCGGAAAAACTCCACATGCTTGTTTTTCACTCGCAGCTTCTTTGGTGAGTTCCAGTGAATCACCTCAGAGGGAGAAAAGAGAAAAGACATCCTGCTGTTAGAATACAGATTTGCTTTACATGCTTTTTTATGTGTGTTCAGTTTGCTGCCCTCCTAAAACCAGAAGAAAAACAACTCACAAACTACACAGACTTCCTTGTGTCTTTTTACAAGGCAGGCTTTGCCATGTCTTTCACAAGTAACTGCATACTCTAGAGGTGATGTGCTTTTGAAACTCCTTCACAGTATCACCTGCACATTTGAGTGAGGATACTGCTCTAGTTTGTGAAGCAACACCTCATAAATGCTTCCACAACTCTAATCACGGAGCTGCTGGGTTATGGACTCTGCTGAAGAAGATGGAAGGACAAGGGACATAGGGATGTAGGTATTAAACATTAATCTCAAATTTCCACATGACTGTTTCTGCTAATGAAATTGATTCACTATTTCAGGCCAGGCAGACTCTTCTCTGGTTAGTTACTGAGAAGAAAAAGCTTGAAATTAATTCCTATGCCCATTTAAATAGTTCAAAAAGGACTGAATCTAATCTGACTTCCTTTTTGCCATTGCTTCATTTAAACAAGACTGATCTCTGTTGCGTTAAGACAACACAGTGATGCAGTACAATGCTTCACCCTTTGAATTCCAATTTCTAGCAGGTATTTATCCTCTCCTAATGGGAGATGCTCACACTGGTCTAGATTTAAACTGTAATGCTTACATAAAGGGCCTGGTCTGCATTTACATTGAGGCAACTTTGCACTGGTGCCAGTGTGAACAAGAATGGGGCCCTAAGGAAAAACTAAGAGGGAGCAAGAAGGGGCTTGCAGAAATGATTTCATTTTATAGGGGCTATATTTTAGACATAAGAAAAAAAAATCACCAAATACTTTGTATTCACTTCTATTCCTGTGACTTCTAAAGAGATTAAAAAAAAGTCTCCCTTGGGAGTATTTCCAAGTTAGGAGTTCTGGAGGTTCTCTGAATGCATTAAGTTAATTGTGTGAAGGCACTGTGTCATGCAGAGCCACAGAGCTGCAGTGCCAGCTGCCGAGCCGGCCAGCTTTGCTCTGAACATCACATTTGTGGGAGGGAACACACAGAGCTGAAGTGCAGCACGTAGAACAGAAGCAGCCCAGAGAAGATGAACGCCCCTGGTGTCAGCAACACAACTCCACAGGAACAGGGAGCTCTCTAAAGTCATGGTATTTGTTGCCCAGTGAGTGGACTGGAGGAGGAAAGAGCAGGATGCAGCCTGAACTTTCCTGTACTGACTTCAGCAAACAACATAGTCTCTCCACTGAATATTTACACTGCCATAAAAGCTATGGCACTCTTTTCTACATACCCAACACCAGCGAAAATATCTCTTGAAAAGAAAAACTTTATTCCTTCCTGAGATTTCACTGCTGAGGCTATTAGGATGTCAGAAAATATACACGCAGTTAAAGAAAATTAACTGTAGAGAAAAATGATAATGTCAGAAATTGGCAAATTGCTTTTTCTGGTTATAGGAACACTTTAAATCAAGATTAAGATATATCTACATGCTGCATAAATTTGGGAAATTATTGGGACAAAAATACTTTCTGTAGGTATTTGTTCCCAGTAATGCTACATTCTTTGCTGGTTTTACATTTGTCCACATGTTCAGAAGTGTAGCATAACTGTGAGTTAACATGTTGCTGCAATGCATGGTGAAAATAAAGAACACCACAAAAATGAAAGGAGCTTTAGTTAGGGAAGGGCATAAACTTAAAATGACAGATTTTCTCCTCTGAAAAATGGATCTTCAAAATCTCCTTTTTCATCCATTGTATTTAACTCCAGCAAAAGGCATCAATGCTCGGAAAAAACTCTCAACAACTGAATCTTGCCTCAGGGAAATGGGCACCTGTAACAGAAGTATAGGGCTGAAGGATCCTAAAGGGCTGCTTAGCAGTTTTACAGGGTACCAGTATGCATATTTACAAGCAGGCCTAGAATGGAAACTGTCTGCTGGTAACTTGTACTTATTTAAGAGTAGATCAAAGAAAGCTAAGAAGATGGCAAATGGGACAAAACTTGTTAAGAAAAATCTTTTGTCTGCTCTCTGTATTGCTACTACACAACATGTGAGTTTCCTTTTGAATGTCTTCACACTGCTGAGCACCCTGACCACCCTGAGACCTGGGGACAGTGAGCACAGACATGGCTAATGAATGATGAGAACCTCAGTAACTCTTATAGGACAGGCTCCCCCATGCTGCAGGAATTTCCCATCAACATACACTGTGTCACATCACAGCCAGGCAGTTGTTGGTCTCTACCCAGTTGTGTGGGAGACGATTTCAAACCCAGACAACTGCAGTTGTCAGTGCAGAGGCTCTTTGCTGCCGTGCTTCAAAATCTGTTGTGTGTAGAAGCTGGTAAGTGTCAAGGGCTTAGCTGGTGGTTCAGATCTGATCAGATTTGAAGATGTCAGGATGCTGCATGTATATGGATGTCAGGGGAACCTGAAGTGAACTGTAGAAATCTGAATGAAGCTGATGACTATCCAAAAAAGCTGATTTTTTGATCAAGAAAGACAGCACATGCCAATGCATCCTAAAGATGATGTACTAAAGAACATCAAGGAACTATGCAACCATCTGGATGACCTGAGGTAGGAAAACCACAAAGCAGCTCAGGCAAAAAAACAGGCTGCTTTTCAAATGTAACACAATTAGAGAAATACTATGTGAGATATGAATGCATAAAAAAGAACAGCAGGTTACAAAAAGCAACAAGACCCTTAAGCACTGATATACAACACTACATCCAAAGACCATATTCTTTTTATGCAGTCAGCCCACAAACTCACCTTCAGTTCTGACTGTCTGATATGGTCTATTGCACCACCAGCTACAGCAGAAATTGTGCAGGCCAAGACATTCTTGTATAGCCTGTCATGGGCATGAGTGAGGTACATAAAAAAGGCAATGGGCTGCACAGGTAAAGCTATGGCCGCTGCATTTGAAACTTTATTGTGCACAACAGTAAACTGATTGGGGAAAAAATGATCAGTTGGCAAAAGACTACAGGGAAATCAGAAAGAAAAAAAAAGTCACTTTATTAGCAGACTCTCAGTGTTATCTCCACATTAAAAAGAGAAAGTCAATCTAGAAACTAAAAATCTCATTATTGCAACATCCCTTTTCCAAGGCTGAATAGCACCATAATGCTGCATTTATTTCTTCTTCTATTTTCCCTCCTAGTTTCTAAACTATTCCAGAGCTCTGTAGGCTTACAGAGAAAACTGCACCTAGAAATATAAAATTCCAGTGCCATTAGCTGGATAGACACCTTAGGAAAAATGCTAGCCTTCAGGCTGACCTACGGATCCTTCCCACTCTTGATCACAGCCTCCTGAGAACTAATAAAAAAATACACTTCCTTAATCTTCATTTAGCAATTTAAGTACTGAAAGATTAGAACTTAAAATTCCACATCTATTTAACACTTGGTTAGTTGTCATTAAACAACTTGGCACTATCTACATTTCTGTTAATACCATCCTAGTTAATCAGCAACCGTTACCACTCACTGATTACACACAGCCATCCTCCTGGAACACTTCCATACGTTTGTGGCCTGGTGAAACAAGCTAACTGCGCCAATGGTTCCCATTTATTCACCAGGTTCTGACCCAAAGCACTTAAACATTGACACAGTTGGAGCCTCATGGACTAGCAATGGGGTCTGAGATGGAAGGTAAGAGAGAATGTTACACGCTGGTGGAGTCTAGGAGGACTCTAAGGTCAGTTATCTGAATGGAAATACACTGAAAACAAAAATCCTAAAGCTCCTTACTTTACCATCTGCATTGTCCTCTCTAGAGAGATTAAATATTTCAAACCTGATGTTCAAATCGCTAAACAATAAGTGAATACAACATTACATACACTTGAATACAACATTATTTCTGTAAGTACCTTTAACCATCTTTTTTTCCCCTGAAGCATTTTCTCTCTCAAAAAGAAGTATGTGGCCAAATGTTTCCTTAACAACAATCTGACATTTTTTTACCCAAAGACACATCTTGGTAATTTCTCACTTTGCTTCAGCCCTTACAAAATCAGAGAGCACTGGATATCCTGTATAACTATATACCTTCTTCCCAGACTGAAGGGTAAGAAATAAGAATAAATTAAGGCTAAATTTCAGCCTAGAGAAGTTTAACTTTGCAAAGCACTGAATAGATATGCTTAATTAAGCCCATGAGCACTTCACAATTTAGGTAAATAAGTGGTATTTTGTAAACAGGGAGATTTCCTGCTTAAAAACTTAAGATTCCTTGCTTAGGCAACCAGACACTTTCCACTGAAATCAACAGGAGTCAAATATTCAGCAAGTATGCACAGTAAAGCCACCTATATATATCACTTTAATGCCATCTCAATAGGTTTTTTTACAGGCACATATTATTGAAAAGTTTAAATATGCCCCAAATCACCCTGCAAGCATGCACCACATGTGTAACTTATGCCTCGATTAGACTTGTCTGGAAACTTTATTTTTAAACTGTGTTTTATCAGAAATGAATGGTTTAATAAAAGAACCAATTTCCTCAGAAAGGTTTGTATTCTTCATAAAAAAGTTATCAGGGAAGTTTCAGAGTGACATTTCTGAACTACATGAGTGGAAGAGACTCAGGTTGGAGTAGCCAGCAACCCAGAAGTCCAGACATTGCTTTTTGGATGAGGGATTCAAATCCCTGCCCTGCTTGATTTGGTACCCATGGTCCCAGGGATTACTTTACTCCCCAACTTACTGCCACTGCTGTAAGCTGACAGACTGTCCCTGCCTTGCACTTTTCAAAGTTCTCACTTTGCTCTCAAAAGGATTCTTCAACTTCTCTTCCTTCAACTCCTGTACTAATGCTTAAGGAGGCCTCTTGCCTGCAAAAACACCACTAATAAAACCATGATGCTCCTTGTTCGGCAGGGTGGAAGCACCTTACTGACTCCAATGCTCATTTAAAGGAGGGGTATGTTTAACCCTCTTGAGCCTTTACTCCTCTCAGAGTAGATCTTCCTTCATTGGCATTAAAAGGTGCAAGGCTGCGGAATGCCAGAACTGCTGCAGATCAGTGCTGAGGTGCTTGAACAGCATGGGGTAGCTCAGGAACTGGAACAGAAAGTGGTGCAACAGGTCACGTTTGAGGCAGATCTGAAGTGATGTATTACAGTTATGGACAAGAAGCAGTTTAAACTTTTGTAAGCAATATTGCAAAGTCATCCTGGTGTGGAGGACATTCCCAGGGAGGACACGGTGAATCACAGAACACAATTTCCCAATGGGGAATTTATGAGGGTCATTATTTATCTATCTGCTGATTTAGTATAAGCTGTATCCAAAATTAGTTCAAAGCCATCAACAGGTTTTAAAGCATTTTTCTATGCTGGAGTGTGCATGTGGGGGGAAAATTCTAGTAATTCGATACATTCCCATTTAAGAGTTCAGTATCTGATTTTCATGTTTGTGAATTAACAGATTCACTGTGTATAAATAGCATCTGTATTCTTGACAACCAGATTTCATGACTGACCCATTCAATGAGGTCATGATTCATTGTCAGAGGCATCACAATTCATTACCTTCTTTCATAGGATTTTTTCTGCCATTTGGTTTGTGCCAAATCATAGTAACTGAGATTTTCTCACAGACAGAAACAAACTATTTACCAAAAAGTAAGCAAACACAGGACCTAACCAAGCAAAAGCATAACATAAATGAAGGTCAGTTCCAGGCAGATTCCCCACAGGCTCTGAAGCCCAGCAAGGCATGGTCCGCAGCACACATGCTTCTCTACTGACAGTGTGGGCTACTGGGGACTGTGTGAGGAGATGAGATAAGCAATACAGAAATTGGATGTCTACACAGAATGACTATGAGCACTTCCTCATCTTTTGGCCAGCCTTCAATAGCAACTCCTGAGTGTTTTTCCAAGGTGTAACAAATGCCATGCAGAAATAAACATCTCTGGCCTTTAGACTGCAGTTGACTCACTTGGCAAAATAATTAAAGAGCATCTGCTTCCTCTTAGCCCACTTTTTGTTTTCTATTGGAACTGTTCATTTTAAGACATTCTTGACCAACCTAAGCATCCTTAAATATAGGTGCCCGTGGGGTGAGGAAAGGAAAATTTCTATAAATGTGACTGTTAAGTTTTGGTGCCATATTCCATGGACAGCAGAACAAAGCCCATAGACTTCAGGCTGGTTGTGCAGTGTGGCCTCTAGCACTATAGAGTATGACACAGGAGGTAAGTTGAATTTAGATGAATAAAAATAATAAATTAGTCTTATTATGATGTTATTTAAGATAGATATAAAATTAGTGGTCACTAACAATGCAGAACTTGGTTATAAATATTTCTATTCTTATACCTCTTCTGAAAGAATCCCATATACAAGTAATTTCAAATTGGTAGATGCTGCTCAGCTGCAGCAAGGAAGTAGAGTTCAGCAGCAGTCAAACATTTGACCTTCTCTAACATAAGACAGTACCAAAAAAAAAAAAAATCAATAAAAATGATAGAGATGAAACTTAATGAGGACTAAACAGAGAAAAAAAAGTGATTAGAATCCTCTTCAGGCAATATGAAATATTCAACTGCTCCCTAAGCCTGTAAAAGGTGTGCTGGTCATCTTACATTTGCATGAATGTGAACAAAGCAGCAAAGTGTTTATACATCCCCACCACCCCCCCATCTACGAGCATCAGTCAGTCCTGGGCATCCAAGTTCACTTGACACAATGTTTTGTGTAAGAGATGACAAATACTCAACTCCCATGGACTGTGAGGCCAGATGTAATTAAATCAATGCCCTTTCAGTTTGATAGTAGGAATGGACTCTGATTTGGCTGAGGAATACTTGACTGGGCCAGCTTTACCTTGGAATTTAAATCTCTCCATGCATTTCCTTCTTTCCTATGCTATCCTTCTTGATCCTTCAGTACAAACTTCACAATCTGTCTTTCTCTCCCTCTTACCCTGGAGGTTTCTTTTACCTCGTTTCCTATTCCAGTCTTACCATGAAAGATGGAATATGCCAAATATGTTGTGTCATACCATTTATATCAAATGTCATGGAACTGACTAACTTCGGTGATTTTAAGAGTATATTTTCTAACTTGGGCTAATGACATTTGTTGAAGTTTTTTTGGGAGGCTCATATACCAAATCAGCCAGTTTCTTTACAGAACTAGAATTTTGATAAATTTCATAATGCAAATTCACAACTTTAATTGGTTTGTGCTTTTTTTATTTTTTAAATTGTATGAAGAATTTTAAACAGTGCTGCCTGAGGGCAAGTTCTTTAACTGCTCAGTATGGGAAGAGCTTTATTGAAACCTTGGGGCTTATGTGCACTAGATAAGACTCTGCCCTCTCTTTCAAAGCAAAGAATTTCAGCCCCGATTAAGTATTTAGGGGATAATTTTAGCAATGTGAATAAGCCCAGTTCAGTTGAAGAAATTGCTTATGTGTCTGCACCCCTTGTTGAGTCAAATACCTCAGACCAGAAAATCAGTGGAGAATATTACACATCTTAGACTTCACTGCTTATGCTCTAATGGAACTGACAGTGTGACACAATATACAGTAATAAACGCCCAAGCCTAAATTATAGTTGTAAACATAAATTTGTTAATCGACAATGAAGAAGGGATATAATTTATTTTGAAGATACTTCTATCAGATGCTTACTCATAGGTGTTACATATGAGCTAGATGTCCCACACCTGAAGCAGATTAGTTAATACAGTCATTGGAGTCTGAACAGTGATTTGCCTGATTAGTCATCTGACGACTATTTTGAGGTGAGCTTCACCAGTCTCCAAACCCACTCATGGGGATCCAAGTTTGGCTCTCTAAATATAGATGTACAGCAACACTGAAAGCACCTTATGGTTATCCTGCCTGCCCATCAGCTGCCTTGCCAAAAGGGTATCCTCTCCTGTAGATCTGTGTTTTATCTGCCAGTCCTACATGGATATCGGAGAGCACCTACGGTAACTCAGACTGTGTTCAGGCAACAGAACCAATCCCTAGATCCTCAGTTATTAGCTTAAATATCTTTTCCTCATGTAAATGTATGTGTCTAACCTTGCGCTGAGCACAATCTGACTGTCTCAACGACTATATGAATTAATCTCAGCCTCTAATTCACAGAAAAATACTGTGATATCTAACAGGTAGAAGATATATTTTTCTGAAGTTCATCTTTTAGGAAATATTTTCCCTGCTACTACATCTTTCTGTTTGTTTCAGGCCCTGCAACTGCTGTCATACGTGATTCTCAGCATGAACAAAGAACTAAAATTTACTAAGAATTTTGTTATAAGGCATAAAAGCATGATGCTTTTAAGTGCCTTGCTGGTCCTGTCCTAAACACAGATCATAAACCAGTCTACTGATTTAACTTTAAAAGCTGTTGTCTATGGATCACACCTGAATAATCAGTTGTGAATACTTTATGTATGAAATTCAAGGAATGCTGGCCAGTTCTGATGGTCAGTTAACCCATGTAGTAGAACTTCTGTCTCTTGGAAGCACAGCTTTTGAAATCAGTGTGTTGAGAGCGATTGATTTTCTATATTCATCCAGTATCTGGTGTTCATATTGAACATTCCCGCTGCTACTCTACAAACTGCTCCAAAGGAAAACTTGGTTAGATTTAGGAAATATATTGTAGCATGAGGGTGGTCAAACTCTGGAACATGGGGCCAGGGAGCTTGTGGAATCTCAGTGTTTGGAGAGTTGACACTCAACCGCACAAGGCACTGAGCAACCTCAATTAAGTTGGTCCTGCTCTGAGTGGGGTTTGGGTGGTCTCCAAACATCCCTTGCAACCTCTTCCATGGTTTTGTGTTTTTCTTTCTCTCTCTTTTTTTTTTTAACTTCATTTCCCACAGCATTCTCAAAACATAAATTAAGTATGCGAACTTTAACTGAATTTTAAAATGAATCACCAAAAACTACCTATTGTTTACTAATGTTCTGATGCCACGAGTGTCTGCTCTGAAGGAATCTATTGCTGCATAGCAATAGATTTCAACACATGGAAAAAGCTCAATTAAGCTTCAGTTCTGAACTCTGCATGCTACATTTGAGGCCGGTCTTTCAAAATGACCACAGCACAACTGATGTTCATTTACCCATATCTGTTGAAATCCATCCTGCTTTTATATTCTACTTGTTAATAGAGAAAAACGTGCTATTAAACTGACACTATAGCTTCATTTTATTAAATTAATAGGTTTCTAGTCAGGCTTTTTTTCAGGGCAATTCCTGGAAAATGAGTGTCAACGTGACTGGGTTAAGTGTATACAAAGGCTAAATATGAAGCGTGCAAGGTCTTTACATTTCTGCTAATGTATTTCTAACTAGGGTCCACCCAACCCTCTCTGTGAATTTCACTCTATTAAATGATGTTTGTATTCTTTTTCTAGGAAGAGCTAAGAACTGGGAGAGCAATACGAACTCAGCAGTAAGGGGCAGTGGCGTGACAGATACAGAATTTAAAAAGGTGAAGTACTCCTTTAACACCTTGCAAAACCCCAAAACAGCATCCATCTTTGACTTTTCTATTAGTCAAAATGCACAAAGTCAAAGTCACATTTCCTTCCCCTGCTTGGGTGTCCCTATGAACTGTATGTGTTCATTTCCCCCCTACTTAAGGCACTCCATCCTTCTCAGACTGTGGAGTCTTGCATTCTCTGTCCCAAATGATACCACCCACCCAACCTCCTGTGAAACCTACCTTCAGGTCAGACACATCTCTGTAGCACTGCTCGGAACGGGTGTGATCAGAAAGCTGCACATTCCAGAAACATGGGAGCTGGTAGACAAGGAAGGGATTTTGTTTGATGACTGCATTGAAGATATCCTAGCAGAAAAAAACCCAGAGAAACAGTTGGGTATGTTGTTTCTACAGTGAGGTGATCTCAACACCTCCCCAAGCTGACTGTCCTTCTCCCCCTCACAGGTAGAAATTCAGATGGTGATGCCAGGTGAAGTTTGCAAACCTTGCTTTGTAATTTTGTTTCCACAGAGGGTGCTATTAATCTAAGGGACGATATGTTCCTCTGGACAAGAGGAACAGGCTCTCTTGACATATAGAGCTAAGGGACTCCAGCAAAGTGTTCAAACGTTTATCTTGTACTGCTAGCCTGAAGTGTGGTTCCTCCTCTAGTCACCAGAGAGACTAATAGGCACTAAATGTCAAAATACCTGCTGTTAGTAAGTACTGCATCAGTTTTCAATAAAGGGGATGAACGTGATTCTGGCAGATATGTTGTTTCAAGGTGAATTACTAGGTGGGATTCTAGCTAGCACTTTATTGTTGCAACCAAGTTCTCTAGATATTTCATGGAAAAGGCATGTAGGACAGATCTGCAGAACAGCCTACAGCATGAAGTTTTTAAGATGAGACTGGATGTGGCACTTAGTGTCATGGTCTAGTAACCGCAGTGGTAGTGTATCAAGGGTTGGACTTGATGATCTCAGAGGTCTTTTCCAACCCAGTTGATTCTATGATTCTATGAGGGACTGAAAGTGTTCTGTCTCTAAGCAGCCATTCAGTTGGAGAAGTAAGTTACAAGAACAGTCTGTGGTTAAGGTATTATGGTTAGACAACCTTTCTCCACTCTGCAAAATTCTGTCCTCTGCAAGTATTAGGCAGCAACTCAGGACCTGACTGAAAACACAGTGAAGTTGCAAGAATCATTTTAATGATCTTCAGTAGCTTTTGGATCAACCTGCAAAGATGCTGTACAAAGTGCACATCTCTACGGGCACAGTAAGCAGTATGCTTCCTTCGTGGTGACTGGTCATAAACCACATGTAGTTCAAAATCAGAAGAAACATCTAAATAAGATACTGTATTGTGCTAACACTTGCTCAAGCTGTTGAGTGACAATTATTGGTTCAGGTCTAGTATTACATTAACAGGGTTTCTGGGTTTAAAATGAGAGCTGTCAGGAAGCACAAATTGAGTAACTACACATTTCTGTGTATAGACACACTATTTCTTCTCTTGGCCTCAGTTTCCCATCTGTGGCAGGGAGACATCAGCGCTTTTGTCTTTACAGGGGTGTTGTGGCAAGAAGTACATTCAAAGACATCTGGGACTCATATGCCAGAAACAGTAATGAAATGTCTGGAGACTCTTCAAACTAAAGTCTGATTAGACAATAACCAGTGGGAAAAGACAGTATATTTGGTCTTCTAGTGTCTGGAGAGTTCTATGTTAAAGAAAGAAGAACAGAAAATTAAAGCATGAAAACCCCACTTTGTCTCTCATGAATTATCTGAGCAGAGATGGTAAAAATATCAGTGGAGTAAGAGAAACCTTGCCAGTAAATCTTCATTCCTCCCTTTCACATTTTCCCCAGAATGATTCAACACATGGTGACTACAGGCACAACATCTTTCCCCTGCCCTTTTCCCACATCTCATCCCCTCTCCCTTTCTTTCTTTCCTCAATCCATGGACTAGCGGTTATACCACAGTCCTGCAATGTCCTACTCACCTGGTCAGCCAGTGAGGTGGATAACATGCTCATTAACTCCCGCTCTGCTGTGAGTCTCCACATCTGCTCCCATTTCATCTTCCGTAACTTATCGAGAAGCAGCAAGATAACCCCTGAAGGAAAACACAAGGCAGAGAACAAGAGAACCCACGTCACATGCCAGTCAATGCCCATCCTGTCTATGTGCTGATCCCGCAGTTAAAACAAGTGAGGTCTAACAGAGGAAACTACAGTCCTTACCCTGTGCTAACACAGGAGGTTGACTAAAAAAAGCTTCAGGTTTCAAGATGCCACCAAGCAAAAATTTCCCTGAGCCCCTGAGGCTGCAGAGAAGAAATGCAGAGATGGCATACAGACAACTGCTAGGTTATATAGGTTTGCAATAAGGCTAAAGTGGCCAAAGAGTAGTGAAACTAGAAAGAAGAGAATCAAAAGAAGGATCTTGTATTTTTAGTAGTCTCCTTAACTGATAAAGCTTGACTTCATTATAACATGATTAGCATTAGAATTATTCCTTACAAAATGTACCAACACAGGTGATTCACATGATGGAGGTTAGCTCCATCCAAAGTTCATTATAATTCAGAAGAGAATTAGACCATATCTTACCAAAAAAAAAAAAGAAGGAACCTCAACACTCAGAAATGACCTTTCCCACTCCTTATTCTGAAAAGCTACAGGCTCCAAGAGGATAATCTGTCCAGTTATTGTTTACTAGGGAAAGAGTAGAGACAATCCTGATTTATCTAGTATGACTCAATTTCTGCCATCTTCACACAGAATCGAGATCTGCTTATTCTGTAATCCCACTGTTTAAATGAATTTCTATCTGACCTGAAATCAAGATAATGCTGAGACAAAGAGAATTTTGTCACCACTATAAAACACTTTACTCAATGTGTGTGAGATGAAATCTAGCCCTTAATACTTACTGCATATATATATATATATATATATATATATACTGCAAAGGTGAAATTGCAGGCCTTACTCCACCTAGTAAGAAGTTAATCACCTGACACATCTGATTGCAATCCTTGAAACTTTTCTGAGGAATCATCAGTGCTGGTTACAACCTAGCCTTTGAGAGGGCCTGTGATTAATGCAGCAAGTGTTCATGGAACAGGACCCTCAGATCAGAAAGTTACACTGTAAATGGGAAAAGAGGTACCTCAGCATGCATTGTTATTCCTCATTTGCTTTTTGTCTGGCCAAAATCCCTAGTGTACAAGGGAAAACAGCAGAAGCAATGAAGCTGGATTGAAATATCAGCAAAACCTTTCCTACAGTGTCTCAGAAAAATCTGCTTGAAAAATTAATTCAGAAAGACTTAGATAAGAGCACTGTCATAGGGAATGAATGCAAACTGAAGGACCACAAAGGAAGAGTACCGATTAACAGCAGCCTCTCAGGCTGACAGAAACCACCTAGTAAGGGCAATGATGGGTTCTGTGTTATTTCACATCTTCATTAGTGGAAGAAGGAAGTAAACAGAACAGTAATGACATCTGCAAATGACATTTAACAAGAGGTCTTACAAAAAAATATCATGGCAACTGCAGAGAAACATAGCAGATACACAGAAGAATATGAAATGACAAAAAGCAGGCACTGGGAAAAGCTGCCTGAGGGAGTCCAAGATGATAAAACTAAAAGTAATGGGAAAAAGAAAGGAAATGTAGTCTGAAAGCTTAAGAAAAATTCTCCTAAAACCACTGGGGTGAAATAACCTAAAAATGGCAGATAAATGCTTTACTTCACAAGTCTTTACAAATCAGACTACACAAAGTTAGAAAATATACGTGGAACAATCCTGCACTGGTTGGGAGAGAACAAAGGTGATTCCAGTTCATTCCTATCTTTAGTTTCTATGACATGGCAAACTTCTTTCTAGTAAAACCTGGCACTGTCATGGATAAAAAGAAAACCTCTTCTGGCAGTGAATTTTGTGGCCTGTTTTAGTTCCGTTTTCCATTTCAGTCCATCTGGTTCCCAAGAATGCTGGAACCTGTACTGGAGGGATCCCCTTTCATCTTCAGTCAATCTTTCTGCTTCCAGCTGTTGGATTGGAAAGGGAAGTATTGTCACGACATGCTACAATTTATTTACACCAGTGTGTTTGTCTTCTCTCCAGCATAACAGAAACCTATTTGGAGCATGTAGTGTGCATGCATTAGCTTCTAAAAAAGGCATTATGCATTGTCTGAAATTCTAGATCAATGTCAAGCAGGTTCCTTGTGCTGCAGCAATAAACTGGGTCGGAAATCTCTTGGGCAGAGGATTTTTCCAGCTGGCAAGAACTGTAGTGAAATGCAATGGAGAAGGTTCTTTATTAAGAAAAACGAAGAATAATGGTAAGATTCACTTAACTGTAATAGAATAGTTTTTATAATTTATAGATAAAAAAACAATTTTTCTTAATTTCTCTAAGCCTCCAGTCTAAGGAGGAGAAGGGGAAATGTTTTAATACGCGTAGTACACACAGATTCTTTTTTTTTTTGCCTTCCACTCTTACATTAGCAGCAGATTATGGCATTGCAGCTAACAAGATTATGCTGTCCTGAGGTGCTATCATGGTAGCAGCTGAGAATAAAAGAGGTAGATGGGGTGGAAAAACTGGAATATATGTGAGAAAGGATGTACTAAATTATGATGCCATCATGGCTATTGAAAATATTCACAAGCTTTTAATGTTCCACCATCAAAATTAATTTCAACATGATTTCTATTTTAATTCACCTACAAGCTTGGGTTTAACACCTTTGTACAGTTTCCGTTTAGGGTTCTAACTTACTGGTGCTATAAAAATAACTATTGGAGAATACTTATAGCAAGTTTAAATATTTATCATTAGTATTAATGAGAATAAGAGATTTCTACTAAGAGGAGAATTTAATACTATCACCTAGTTAGTGTTATTTAGCGCAAAAGCATGTGTTTTGGGAACTTTTAAATAGTTCATGCAGAAGAAAAAATTATGCTTTTTTCAGAGCAGTGAAATTCAGGTTTACTTTCATATTGTTGTGTTGCCAATGCAAACATGGGAAATGAACTAACTCCAATCTGCACAATTAATTTGCAGACAAGTGTTTGAAATAAAGAAAGGGAAATATTTGCCTCAGGAGCCCCTTCCCTCAGAGTCAAATTGACTGAAATCTCAGACTAAATTCAAGATGACATACAGCTAAATGTAAGGGGAAAAGGGACTCACTCTCATCTGCTGTGCTAGGGGAGGATGAGACTGGAGGAAAAAAAAGAAATCAAAGGAATATTTTATTAACATCTGGCCCCAGGCAGTGGGACTTCTGATCTTTTGAGAAGTGCAGCATCTTTCTGCCCTGACCTACCTGAGAAAAACAAAGGAAAAGCTTGGCAGCAAATAAACAAAAAGAGGAAAGCTGCAACCCAAACATCTCATGAGCATTAAACAAATTATGATCAGCCACAAAACACCCTATTTTTGTTGTCCTGAGGAAATAGTTGAGACATATCCAGAGATGCAAATATCTCAAAGACCTCTTAGAAAAAGAATGCTTTATTACTAAATCTGTGGACCACATTCTAGTATAGTTTTTACTTGAATGGCATTTTTCTCCTCCAGCCTGATGAGATTTTGCTTGAACTACCAAAATCTGACAGATTATGAATTGCTCAAACAGGCAAACAAACAAGAAAGTAAACAAACAAACAAAGCAGTTTCTCAAAAATGTGATTTGAGGACATATGCAAAAAACCCAGCTCCAAAAGCAAAACAAAAAAACTCCCTCCAAAAAGCAAAACAAAAAAACTTCCTCCAAAAAACCGAAAAAAGTAATTTGGTGAATAGGTTGGATAAAACTGGCCAAAAAATCTGAATTAACATATTTGGACTAAATTATTCCAGTTAAGAAACACTGGAATTTTTTTTGGTACATTTTAAAACCCAACTTACTCTAAAATAATTTTCACCTCAAAATTGATACAAATTAAAAATCTTATTGAAAATTGTTACAAAGCCTGAAAAGGAAAGTAAATGTTTCATTCTAGGTCTAACCCAACTCTGGGAGTCACCTGACTTTTTTGTTCTTTTCCCATTTTTTGATTCAATCTAAAAGAATTCTTTTGTCCTTTCAATGTTTTCACTAAGCAATGGTTTCAGTTGATGCTTCAAGTCATCACAGGAAAATAATCTGGTGGGGTTTGTTTGTTTGTTTCATTGGTTGGTTTTGGCTTTTGGGTTTTTTTTTAATCTGCTCCAAAACAAAATATTTCATTTAATTTTCCTGAATAGTAAATTGAAAGTCTGCAGAAACATCTGCAATTTCCTTTGGAATGCTATCAAGCATCTCCACCTCTTGCTTCGGGAACACAGACTATGGCTTTTCCTGAAATTCAGAGGAACATATAGTAGAGCTAGAAGTAATAAACAACATTTTAAGACGGAACAGAATCACTTACAGAATTTATAGTGAAACTGGACAAGCTTTCAAACTCAATCAATTTATTACAATGGGCCTCTTAGGGTGGCTGAAAAAATACTCAGTGCTGTAGGGGAAGAAAATATAACTACTAAGAGATCATTTTCTGCCAGCACTATCTTGCCTGTTCCTTTTGGGTGGAACAGGATGCTTTTGTGAGCTGTTGAGGCAATGCCATTTTATGTGAGCAGTACTTCAAAGCCTGTGCTTGTCAGGTTTTTAAAAATTCTTCCTGGAATTAAGCCTGCAACAGTGAACCATCTAGACAAATAGCAAGTAGATACCACTGCAGTATCTAAAAGAGATAGGAAGACAAACTTCAAAATATATCATAAAGCAATAGTGAGTTTTAAAAAAATGAGTGGGATTTTACAATAGCTAAGCAGCATACCAAAGACCATACACCAAAACACAGAGTCTTAGATGCTGTAAGAAATAATGTTAAGCATGGCTGACATTATGGAGATTTGCTGCCATAAATAACTAACCCAGAGATCTAAGGCAGTAAGCTACCATGTTTTGTGAAACAGATTTGGCATCAAAAATCTGAGTTCAGTTTTAGGCACTATGGAAGAGGCTTGTAGCTCTGCTGTCCCAGGAGAAGCTCCATGATGGTGTTGACTGCTTAGTACTCTAGCAAATACTTAACACATCTT